AACGCATTGCAGTCATAAAACATTTTGGTAGTCTAACCTAAAATTTAGCGCCCCCACGTTCCATGGATTTGAACACTTGTTAACTAACAAGTTTTATTTTGTGCTTTCTAGGCTTGTGGTGGCTCCATTCAGACCAGTGTTGGTTCCCTGACTGATGATGTTCTTGGCCAGTGTGAGCTATTTGAAGAAGTGCAGGTTGGAGGAGAGAGGTATGTTGTTATTTTTGTTGTTGACTTATTGGTGCTTCTGAAACTGGAGATTAAAATTTAATGTAACATTTCTTTCTTTCGCTACAGATACAATTTCTTTAAAGGCTGCCCAAAGGCCAAGACCTGCACCATCATTCTGAGGGGTGGTGCAGAGCAGTTTATGGAAGAGACGGACCGCTCACTGCATGATGCCATTATGATAGTGCGCAGGGCAATCAAGGTTGGCGAAATCTGCACCGTTGTCTGCTGCAGATTACTATTGTCCTTGTCCTTAATTTACCTACAATTTTTTATCTAGTCTAGGATTTGCAACCAGCAGGGGAAGAATATTTCTTAAGCCTTTTAGATACTGAAAAAATAATAATCATTAAGCTATTCTCTCTTTTTTTTCCCTCATGACAGAATGACTCCATTGTTGCCGGTGGTGGGGCAATTGAGATGGAGTTGTCGAAGTATCTGAGGGATTATTCTAGAACAATTCCAGGGAAGCAGCAATTGCTGATCGGAGCCTATGCCAAGGCCCTGGAGATCATTCCCAGACAGCTCTGTGACAATGCGGGATTTGATGCCACAAATATTCTAAACAAACTGAGGGCCAAGCATGCACAGGTAAAAACAGAAGTCATGCTGCTTTCTTGATTTACATTTTTCATGTCGTCAATCATCTAATTGTATTTTCAGTGCTGTCGTTAATACATAATGTGAAATCTGCCTTTCATACAGGGTGGTATGTGGTATGGAGTGGATGTGAATAATGAAGACATAGCAGATAACTTCCAGGCATGTGTTTGGGAGCCCTCTATAGTGCGTATCAATGCCTTGACTGCTGCATCTGAAGCTGCATGCCTCATACTGTCAGTGGATGAGACCATCAAGAACCCTCGCTCCAGTGTTGATGGCCCACCGGCAGCTGCTGGCAGAGGAAGGGGTCGTGGTAGACCAGCCCATGCCCACTAATCCATACCCAGCCTTAGGACTTTCAGTTGATCACAACAAATCTTTGCCGTTCACTTGGTTTTGATTTGTTTTATTGGCCCATTTTGTTATTTACCAGTCCCACTAACTACGAGAATCTCTGTGTCTTTGCAAAGGATAATGCAGAATAAAATGGCGTTTTTTTTTCTCTCTCCTTGTTTTAGACCAATGGGAACTGACATCTTTTCTATTGGGTATTTGGAATTTTGAATGTTGTTCTGTAATAGTCTGAGAACACACAAAAAACACCATGTGCTCAAAATTGGTTGGTTTGTAGATTTGAGTAAGCACTGAAATGTGGGCACTCTGCTGAGATATGTTCCTGTGTTGGTCAGTTGGTGGAACTATTTATTGTACCATTAAAATCAGTACTTTTGCCTCAAGGTGTGTGTGGTTTAATTTTGTCAAGTGAGGGCTGTATTTATCAGGAAACATTGAAAAAAAAGTTTTTTAAAAGGCACTGTGAATAGTAAAGAAATATTTCACAGTATGTCATAAAATAAACGTTTTTTGGGCTTTACTTCAACACGGTGTCATTTAACTTACCTTAGAAGTATATTTTTTATCTTTAAAGCAGGATAATGGGAAAAGTAATTTCAATATTCTTACCTTCAAGAATGATGGAAAGCCAACATTGCTTAGTTATAAAAGACTGATAGGACAAATGTTGATGATAACCAATATCATAAAGTTCATACCAGCCAACTATCAAAAAAAAAATTAACAATGAACATTTAGACCTGGATTAAATAAAAGCATTGAGAGGTAGTTTTCGTTTCAAAAGCTTTTTTATTTTTTTTAGCAACCTAAAAGTTTATTTGGTGCAAGTATACCACTAGGCAGGCAATATGTTTACATTTAACATTTAATTGTTCAACTGTTTTGTACCTTTTCAGGAAATCAGAAAATTATTTGAAACTGCATTTCTCTCAACAGACGTCCTTCATTCTAAATGATCAGTTCCACTTTTCACCTCTAGGTGGTGCAACAATTTATTAAAACATCTTGACTTGAAATATACTTGGTATTGTGTAGTTATTTGCTTACAAAAATAAATGACTATTTTATAAAACTATTTAAATACGAAGTGTCTGTATGTGTGACTTGTTGATAATCACCACAGGCAATAACATAATTGTAATTTCTCAGAATAAAATCCATAGGAAATCTATTTACAGAAATGATGGCAAAAAACTGCAGCTTATTTAAAAATTCAGGTATATATGTAATCTACTAAAACAGTCTAGCATATAAAAATGTTTTCCAAAATTGTCCTAAGAAAAGAATGGTTGTTTAAAATGGTTTTTAGGACAAATTTGATAAAGGATTTTTTTTTTCTGACAATTTAGAGGCTTATCCAAAATCTACAGTACACTTAAAAAGAGTCCTCATAGTTGGTGCATCCAGAGCAGGATTAAGAACACATTGGGCCCTGGGGCTATATATATATATTTATTTATTTATTGTTATTTTTATTATCATTATTAGTAATATTAATTAGTAAACATAATTTTTTTCTACATATCACATTCTACCATGTGATTTGTATTTGATTATTATTATTTTTTTCTATTAAAATAGGCCTGCAAGTATACAAAATTAAGTAATGACATAATCTGAACTTTAAAGTTCAGACTGCAAAAATCAGCAAAAGAAAAAAAAAAACATTTGCATTACATCCTAAAGTGCTTTATAATAAATGCTTCAAATAGGGGTTCACCTTTAAAAAGTTTTTCTAGAACTTTAGCTGACCATAAATCCCTAATGATATATCTTTAAAATCTAAACTTTTATCCAAAATATTACGGCTAGCAACCTTATTTTAATTTTTGCATCAGATATATTGTCCGATGAAATTCGATGTTTCATTGCTCCATATTATAACTGTCGTTTTCATAAAAGGAGCAAAGTAAAAACAAAGTTTGTTTTTTTTCCTCCATGGTTAATTTTATTGTTTACTATTATTTTTATGTTGTTGAGTGTGACCTGTTGCTGTCAACTGTTGGCTATACACTTACTTCACGTGGCCGCCATTTTAAAGAACCAAAGCGAAGCTGCAATGGAAAGAAACCCAGAAGTATAGGACCAGCACTGTAAACATTGCGGTAAGATGCTGTGGACAACAAACCTCAAGCTGTTGCAGAGATTTTAAATTGCAGAAATTGTGTAAACCACTTTAATATCATTCAGTAAGTTCAAACAACTAAAAGCAATTTAGCATCAAACAACATCTCTGTAAGACTAATATGCTCAAGCGACCTCCTAGGCTTCAGTTCATGGCACCAGTTAAACACAGTAGGGACACTTTCCTGCTCCAGCCTATGTAACCTGCTGAGTGATAAAACACTGCAGTCCTCTGTAGCACACCCTTGTGTTGTCTATAATAGTGTTATCCTGGTACTGAAGTTTTAAAACCGCCTATTTCACGCTAACATTGAAGCGTCGCATGAGAGTGGATGACTCAATTGATCATCACTGCTGCTTCGCACTCCAGTCTCTGTGTATCTGTGTTTGCCATCAGTTTACCGCTCTTCATCCAGAGCAAAAAGAGATACATGGAGACTGGAGCGCAAAGCAGCCAATGAAGATCAGTCGAGTCATCAAGCGGATCGCTCGTCTGTGTTTGTGCTCGGTAAACAGCGAAGTGTGAACTGCTGACTTTCTCTGCCAATCACAAGCATTTCTGTTGAGCACGTGAACAAAATGGCAAATCAGCACTGTTTTACGAGCAGCCATCAACAGTGCTTTAAATGTTAGAGGGAAATTGACAGTTTTTCTTTAAATTCAGTTTTGTGACAAGTCCCTGCTGAAAAATCCAGCTTAAACTAGCCTAGGCTGGTCGGCGGGTTTTAGCTGGTTGATCAGCCTGGTTTTAGAGGGGTTTTGGCCATTTCCAGGCTGGTTTCCACCCATTTCCAGCCTGGTCTTAGCTGGTCAGGCTGGAAAATGACCAGCCAAATCCAGCTAAAACCAGCTCGACCAGCCTGGTTTAAGCTGGATATAGCTGGTTTTGGCTGGACTCCCAGCTTGGCTAAGCTGGTCAAGCTGGTTTTAGCTGGTCATCTCCCAGCCTGACCAGCTAAGACCAGGCTGGAAATGGCTGGAAACCAGCCTGGAAGTGGCCAAAACCCCTCTAAAACCAGCCTGGTCAACCAGCTAAAACCAGCCAACCAGCCTAGGCTGGTTTAAGATGGATTTTTCAGTAGGGGTCTAATATAGTGAATCAGTTCATTAACTCAGGTTTGATAAATGGGATCTAAAACGTGTGTTTGGGAAAGAAAACATTAGCTAACTAGTGCCATTTCCCTTAACTTAGCTGAAAATGAGCTCTGATATCCATATTTAAGTTCACTATTCAGAATGGAGCTTCCAGTTACTCGGAAGGCGGAAAATTATAAATTTATGTCACTTTTATCTCCGCTGAAAGATATACAGCCAAAGACACAACGTTCCTATGTAACTCCCAACAATACTTCCGGGTTTCTTCTCACCGCAGCCTCGAAAATCGTGAAATCGTGAAATCATTCTATTGCTGTAGACCTAATTGGCCTTCGGGGACAATAATTTATTCTAATCTTACTGTAAAGCACAACCTAGTGTATTTACTTGAGATAGATATATACTGTTCTCTGCAACAACAAATATTTTGAAAACTGCTCGTGCAGGATATTTGATTTGTTCACCCACTGTCTTTGTTAAATTGTGTATTGAACAGATTGCACAGGCTCACATTGGCTCACATTGTTGCACAGCCAAAACTGGACTTTAGTTACTACCTGTACGAGTGTATCAATGACAAAGACTTTTGAATTATTATTTTTTTTTTTTGTTCTACGATAAGCTTGTTTAGCCTACCTTTGACTGGACGGTTCTCACGGTAGTGCCGAAATAAGGGACTGTTCTGGGAAAATTGGGACATCTGATCACCCTATGGGCAACTAAAACAGGGCTATTCAATATTCTGATTGGGCTACAACCACTCCAAGCCCCAGTTATCACCAGCGTCACTGTTTTTTAACAGCAGCGAACCGAAAGGAATACTTTGGATTATATTTGGATAATACTTTGGAAAGGAATACAATTTATGACGAGATAAAGCATAAAGCAAAGTGACGCATTTTAATTCATCAGCCAATCATAGGCCCCCTTCTTCCATCGTCCTTGAGGCTTCAGCCACACCTAGCCCTTATGTTAATCCAGCCCTGGGTGCACTGCAGGAAGAAAGTGATTCCAGTAACATTTCAGTTTATCCTTCAGTTTTAACATCAGCCTCATGTGACCTCAAAGCTATTATTTTTAGTCATTTATCGATGAGATTATATGGGGTAAACCCCTTGCATTCCACAATAGAATTAGTTAGACAAGAAGTCAATTGATGCCCGCACTAGTCGGCCAGTTGCCACATCAACTGCTGTGACTTTGATCTCAGTGTCACCAAACTGCATGGTAGTGCGAATCTCCCTGCGTTCAAATGCTGATCCTTTATCGTTATCACCAGTGCTAGCTGAAGCTTCCCCTGATTCAAGTAGGTCTAGCGTGATGGCACCACACTTCCTCACCCCAGGGTCGGTAATATAGGTTATGTCATCAGTGTCGCTGCAGTAGATGTTGATGATGATCTTCCGTTGACCCATCCTAGCAGGAGTGTAGCTCCGCCTCACAACCTCACCCAAGGCCACAGATTGATCAACACTTACAAAGCGGTCCAGAATGTCAGTGCACCATTCTCTTCCATCCTTGATGAGTAGCTTATCATGAGGGTGTCTTCCTTCTACAAAGCGGTTCAAAACCCCAACACCATAAGTTAACGGACAACGGCGTACTCTGACAACAGTGGGGTCTAGACCAAAAAGGACTGCACCCTTCAAGATGGTTAGACCTACATCATGTGGAATTATTATACGGCAGTTCCGTCCTAGTGTATTCTGAATTGCCCGTTGAAGCATGGGTGACTCTGCGAATCCTCCAACCAGGAAGAGAAAACGGACACCCTTAACTTCTTCCTTCTGCATGACGTTCTCTGGTTGGATGAGAGAAATTTGATATCAGATAATTACCTACTGACCCCTGGCTTGGTTTGTGTTTTAGAGAAAAGTCCTCACCAATATGTTTTATGATATTGTTAATGGTCGGCTGAAAAAGCTCGTTCGTGGCCTCCGTAGAGAGTCTCAGCATTCCTTGAGATGACCACTTTATAAAATTCATACTGACCAAAACATTACACAAAGTTAAAACAAACTTTTTAACACATGTTTTAGCAAATAACCCCCTCAGTGAGTAAGACGTACTTGCTCTTGCGCAGGGCAGTTTCCACACTCTGGCCCCGGTGTTGCTTGTAGAAGTCAATGAAGGAGAAGGGCAGTGAGATGTTTAAAGTGTTGGCACGGCCAGGAGCTGCTGTACGTTTGCGGGCTTCAAATGCAATAGTGAGATCTACCCAAGCAGCTGGACGTTTAGCTTTAAAACTGTCAATAAAGTCAGTGCCAAAGATTTGGCACAACATTGTCTCAAAGGCAAGATCCACACCAACTGCACCATAAGGACCCCCTAAAAGACAAGAATGTTAGTGTATCATTTAGATTGGTTTATATGTCACTTAGTTTGCATAATAGTTTTTAAAGTGCCTCAGGATCTTTTGAAATTATTTGGAATAACGTTTACCCAAATTATCTTAAGCTTTAAACATATTTCAGGACTGGAGTGAAAAGAAAGGACTTGGCTAAAGTGAACTCTTAAGAATAACCAGTTTTGATTTTATATCAACTATATCAATTTGCTCCTGATGTGTTGATCTTTGAAAAGTATTAACTCTGACACAAATCTCTTTATTCAGAGAAAAGTGGACCAATTAAAAATATTAAACAAACCACTACAAAGAACTACAGAGCACCAAATATAATTCTTTCTACAACCATCAGTGTCTGAACTTGATTCTGGAGGGCCACTTTTTGCAGAGAACACCAAAGACTGTAATTTTTGGAGTAATTCTAAGTATCTCAATTAGTTTTTTCAAGTTAGGGCTTTAGCTAAACTTTCCTTAAGCACAGCCTTGTAGTCTAGAATAGGTATTGCACAACTCTAGCCTAAATGTATCCATACAAACATTTCCCCAATTAGTTTCTGATAACACACTTGTCTTTCACATGCACTTGTGAACTTGCATTGGTCATTGTGTGGGTGTGAAGTATGCACAACTGTATTTTGTCCTATTGCCATTTTAGTTGCAAGAAGGCTGCTTATGAGTGCTTGATGTTGTTAAGAGTACCCAATTATGCAGGCATCATGAAAAACAGTACCTGGTGGTTGGCGCAGTGCTTTGTTACCAAAGTGTGGACTCCGGTTTTCCCCACCCACCGAACTGACTGACAGCCACATATTACCATGTCTCTGTAGTAATGCGTATAATCATATCAACAAGATGTGTGCAAAGCAACTGGGATTAAAAGATGTTTAGCTCTCTGTGATTATCTGCACCTCAAGAATGAGTTTTAAAGGTTTATGATGTTTTTAAAACTGCATGTTTGTAATAAAGAAAAGACAGTAAAATTGCTCTGTAATTCATCACCAAAGGTGAATGTCAGTACAATTATAATAGAAGATGCATTAATCCCAGTTTGTGGACATTAAATCAGGTTCATTTTGTACATTAACATAATTGATATCCATACAGCAGTGTATATTAACGTTTATCCTGGCACATTTGCTGTGCAAAAACAGTGCAGAGTTAAACATATGCATGAGTGTGTGTGCGCAAACTTTGTAACCACATTGTGTGTGGCTCATTATTGCAGAAAGGCTTGAATTAATTCCACAACATATACACCAAATAACCATTGGGAAAGTTCTTACTGTAGTAAGGAAGATCTGCTTCATTCTTGTCTGTCCTTGTCATCTATGTGAGTCGCAGCAGGAGATTGAATCATGCATCAGAGCAATAGGGAAAGATCTCTATAGCTCTGATATGTATTTCGGAGTGGTGGGTGAGGAGAACTAGCTCATTTGCATTAAAGGCACAAGCAACTAAAACAGCTACAGTGTCCTAACAGCTCTAATTTCCTATTTTCAGAAAGGTGTAATAAATAATCATATGGGTGTATTTAGCTGAAACTTTACAGAAACATTCTGTAGACATATTAAATCTTTAAAAAGTGGTAAAATAGGTGCCTAATTAATCATCACTGCTATCATCATTTCTTTATTGTCTTGATGATATTTAAAAGCAATATCATTCATATTTAAAAATGTGGTTTCATCAGGGAAGTAAAGTGGTTTAAAGTTTGGCGGAGTTGGCTGTGGTTTTCCACTAACCTGAGGCTTTGTAAAGCTCTTTCAGAGTGCCCTGTGGCTGCTCAATCTGATGCACTGTCAAATCCACAGTCCCACCTCCACAGTCAGCTACAATGTACCGGTCACCTTTGAAAACACAAATCATTCATTTTGCGTTAGCTTAGACAAGCCTCTTAATCAAGCTCTGCTATCAGTTGATTTGATAATTAAAATCAAAGCCCCTATCAGCTTATCCAACTTCCATGCAGTCAGATGGCTTAACATGGAACATTACTCGAACACTTCTCAGCCTTGCTAGCATCACTGCTCCCTACTGCATGCTGCTTTCTCTGCTAGCTGCTTTATCGACCATATTCTCACCAGCTCATTCTTGAGCAGTTGCGTCCTAATGGTTTGTTATAGTTATTTGGACTTCCAACCACTGTACTTGGTACTTGGACTTGGTAATCCAAAGGTTGCTGGTTAGATACCCAGTCACGGCAGAAATTAAAGATGGGGAAAGTGAATGAATCTAACTCTCTCCATCTTGATACTGGGGCTGAGGTGCCTTCAAGCATGATACCTACCTAACCCCTAATTGCTCTCCAGAGGCTGGCCAGGTGTATGCTCACATTTTTTGTGTGTGTGCACTTGTATGGGTTAAAAGCAGAGGACCAATTTTGAGTACTTGACAAAGCTCATTTGATTTTCATTACAACATATGCTGACTTAGGGTGTACGCACACTATGCTATCTGAACCGTGCCCAGGCCCATTTCCCGGATTGTTTCAGAAGTGTAAGTGCTCTGAATCTGGCTCAGGTGCGGTTCACTTGACCGGCCCTAACCCGGTTGGAAAAGGTGTGCGAAAGCGCGGATCACTTGGTTTCAGGCGCGGTACACTTGTAGTATAAATGCAAAGCGCACCTGAGCCCAAAAATAAGGACTAGACGTGACTTTTAAGAGACTTAAAATGGATTTATTCATTTTTCCTACTGTTCAATAAACGCATACTGTCGTAGATTATTAAAGACGCAAACCCCTAACTGCACGACAGCTGCACCTTTAGTAATCCTCCTGTTACCTGCAGCACGAGGACTTTATGATTGTTCATGAGCGTCAAAAGTGGCTGTTCTGTTCGGCGAAAAATTTGACCATGTGTCACTACATCTCAAACGACTGAAACAATAAACCTAAAAAAAATTTCCACTGTGCTGAGGGAGAGCGCTTTTTAAACTGAACAGCGCATCATCGATGACGTAAGCGTGCTCAAGCTCGAATGCGATACGAGTGCGGGCCGTTGGGGTAGACGGGAGGGGGACGGGAGGCCCGGTTCAAGGCAACTGTACATAATGTAAGTACGCCCTTAAGCAATGCCAGAAAATTGTCATTGTTGCTTGCTTTGTTTTTAGTTATTTTTCTGTTGTAGCCTGCATAAAGCTTACAATGGAACATGGAATTTAAAACAACTATACCGCCAAATGCCATTTTGAAATATACCAATAAATTTCAAGTGTGCTAAAGCTTATCTGTTGTTTCTTTTTTAGTTGAGAGGACCTGACTCAATTTAATGTAAACCTAAGGCTCTTGAATGCTTAATAATTGTCTCCAGATTTTCAGCACCAGGACATGTTTAAATAAAACCCATGTTCTTCCCTCTTTGACATGCTGCAATCAGGAAGATCTACCAAACAGCCTTCAGACATGTATGAAACAATCTGAGATAAGTGTCCCTGACTCCTGCCAACTCACTTTTCTTCACTACACAAGAGAGAGGAAAGTGTGTTCCTTGTTTGTTTACTGTGGCATAATAACTCTGTTTCATGGGAAATGGCCTCCTCTTGTATGCATGTTTTTGCTATTAAGAACTGCAAGAAACTATGAGAAACTGAAGGAGACTTGTATTGTGTATGTTAGATTGCAATAAACTCAATCCCTCTCTCTCCGGGAAACATCTGGTGCTAAAGATCTGATTATTTTGACCCTGCACCTTGTCATTGTGCCAGTCATGCTGAGAACTGCACGCACGCACACACACTGGAGGCATGAGTTCAAACTATTCAGCCTGTAATAACATACCCACTATTGCTCCTTAATGAGGGTCTCTTGGAAATCTTGGAGTCATATAAACAACACAATATGCACATATGGAACAAGAATAGAAATCTTCAATCTTGACAATATTCTATTTTACTGATCAATAATTTGATTAATCACCAACAAAAGACTTCCATAAGTCATTGTTTAAACATCTTACAGTTTTTTTTAGGATTGCTTACACACTAAAAATAAAAGTAGTACACTATTAGCAAAACCTTACACACAAGTATCAAAACATCAGCCCATATTTGCACAACTGTTAGCACATTGTCAACTTAGCACTTGTTGCAAAACTCTACACACAGTGATTTTCAAAACACTAAACACACTTAACATACATTACACACTAAAATCTATCATGAAGTCACATTGCAATACCAAAGCACTGACTGTCAAATTACTGCACCGTCCAACCAATAGGTTCAACACAGTCATCAGGTGTGCAAACACTTGTTTGATTTATTGTAGACACAACAATCAGGTGTTTAAGCACTGTAAAATGCCAGTTTCAATGAAAACCATCAGGTCACAATATCAACTCTGGCACACACCATAAAAAAAAAAAAACATATTCAAATGAAGCAAATTTATGGAGTGCCATTCGAGCACAATTTCGAAAGGGTGAAAAGACTGGCATGATTATGCAGAAGTATGTATTCACTTTAGCATTGTGATCTGGCAATCTGTCTCATTATCTTTTACTGTACTGTAATACTAGATCTACACTGAACTACAAAATTTTGCCTGACACTGTTCTTCAGGTAGTTTTACGAATGGATGGAGAGGAGATCCAGCATGAGTTCATTTACGTAGATGATGGTGTGTTCAACCTGACGAGAACACAGAGAAGAAGAAATATTGGCCACAGGGCTATAGTCAATGTCCCAGGGCAACGTGGGCGAAATATACAGTAACACATGTGCAGCCATTACAAAGAATGGGGTCCTCCATTGCATGCCCATATGGGCCCTTACTGTATAACACAGCACGTATACTTACATTCTTGGACCAATAGCACAACATAACAGCAGCAAATCAAATTAGTCATACCCAGTACATTGTTGTCTGGGACAATGTGTCTTTCCACCGTTCTGCTCTGTTTCAGAACTGGTTTCAGCAACATCCACATTTTACCGTCCTGTATCTTCCACCATACTCTCCATTCCTCAACCCTATAGAAGAGTTTTTCTCGGCATAGTGGTGGAAAGTATATGATCTTCATCTCCGAGCTGAGGTACCCCTCATCCAAGCCATGGAGGAGGCCTGTGACCAGATGGAGGTAGCAGCAATACAAGATTCTACATTCAAGACACTTCTTTCCAAGGTGTCTTGCTAAGGACAACATTGCAATTGATAATTCTCATGCCAGATCCAGCTAGGCGAAGAGACAATGTCTAACTTACAGTTCAATACGTAAAGTGAAATGTTACAGTACTTTAAATCTTCATGCCAACATGTTGGACATGTTGAGGAATTAATGAGTTTCTTCAAGGTGCAACATTGTTCTTGAGTAGTGTTTGGTGAATTTACTTTATATTTGTACTTTGTTGATGGTAGCCTATTCTAATCATAGGGAAGTAGAAGTGCTAAAAGTGTTTTAGGTTTATCACAGCAGTGTGTAACTCGTGCAAACAGTGTATAGTAAATGTGAAAATGTGTGTTTCTTATTGTAAAAAAGTGTGGTTTTTAAACATAAGTCTATTTTTTTATAAGAGTTTTTATAACTATTTCATGTAAAAACTTTAATAAAGTTGTTTAAAACAATAAAGGTATAGTGCATGCCATCATTTATATATTTGCATTGGTTTCACTTACCTGTCTGCATCTCAGACCACAATTCTCCAGTACCACTCTCTACCAGAAAAGTTCGGCTATGTCTGGCTCTGCGGAGCTGCTCACGGGCTGCAAAACACATTGGCTTTATTTCAATTAAAAAATCCCTTTTCATTAAATCAAATCTTTATCACTTAGTCAATAAAACTTGAAAGAGATAAGGAAAGATTGCAGATACCTGGACAAATACATTTTAAACCCTGATTTAATGAACATTGTAATGTTTTTATTTTTCTTTTTGATGTGAGAAAAAAAAAAAAACAAATAGAACAAGCTTGTTTTAAGACTGTAGTTTTACAGTCGGCACGTTTGCTGAATAATGACCTGCTAAACTAAGAATAATCTCTGCTTCCCTACTGGGACTTTTAAGGCTGTACTGGATGCCATGTTTCCAGAGGAGCTCATTTTATGGACTGAATTACTTCAAACATTTCCTTTCAGGTAGAGTTTGTGTATACTAGAGCATATGGACATGCTGCTATATATTCTCATAGCTTGCAGCAAACACAAAAAAGATAATTCCGATAACTTCTATGGGGGCAATCAAGAACCCATTGCAACAAAAATAGCATTTTAAACAATACATACAAAAAAGGGGGGAAAAGAAAAAAAATAACAAAGCAAATTTATTTACTTTGTCTTGAACTTTAACTACAAAACCCAAATGAATTATGTAATCTTTAATTTAGATGACAGGGCAAAAACTGACAAGGTAGATATATGCATTATACACTTTTTGAGGTATGGTATTTTAAGATTTGAAGTGTCTGTATGTGATGAATAAAACAACACAATTACATAAAAGGCATTACAAACTATTTTAAAGCTACAAAAAACATGGCAAAGAAATTCAAGCACATTTAGATGGAATAATATGAAACAGAAAAAAGTGAAGACAAAAAGAAAAATTCTGCAGGGCATAACTGGGCTAAAACTGAAGTATATGTCCATTAGTGTAATAAGTCAGAGTACAATGAGTTGAGCATTCAAATGCAGCTTATAAAGAGAATAGTTAGGCAGGCAAAAGGTCAAACAGGGACAGACAGGAGCATAATGGCTGAATGGTCAGCAAAAGCAAGAAAACAACAAAACAATAAAAAAAAGTCAAAAACTATGGCAGGCAATACAAGGAAACACTTTATAATGCTCACTTGCAGTTTAACAAGACTCAGTAAAGACTGTTCTTCTTCTTAGTTTTATAACAATCTGCATTCTTTGTGTATATTGCTTGTACATAACAGTGCATGCTGTACTTGTTTTGCAATCAGAATCTGTTGTTCTTGTTTTGTCATTGCACTGCTTCAATCCCACAGATTTCAGAGCTCAGGTCTTAGATGGTGCAGCATATTCAACTCCTCCCAGTTCCCCACTAAACAACTTAATCTCCAGAACTGAAACAGAACAATTGTTTTATTTTCTTGCAGGAATTAAATATATATAATAATCAGTTTATCTAACCCTGTATTGTATATTTTTTCTCTTCACTTTTGTCAATTGGTGAAGATTGTTCCTTGCCACTGTCTTGCTTGGTTTGGGACTTGTGGAGCTGCGCATCATTGGATTTGCTCTTCAGGGTTTGGGTTTGGCATTGAAAATTAAAACACACTGAACTGAACTAAACTGAACTTCTGAAATCTAGACTGACACAGTTTCAGTTTACTAAAACTTCTATGTTAAGCAGCTTTGACACAATCTACATTGCAAAAGCACGATTGAAATAAAGATTAATTAAACTGAACTGAATGTTTTATAAAAAATTTAAATAAAACCTATATGATCACTGTTGAACTCATATCACAGTAGGTATCCTGTCTTTACTTATCTTAAGGAGAAAGGTAAGAAATTCTATTATTTCCTTCCTGTCATTATTTTAAACACTCATATATTACATGCTCAATTGTTTCTTTTACATTACAAGATTTGCATAGTCCATTATCATGTACACCAATTAAAAACAGTGAATCATTCAGCTCAGTAGTATGCCCCTGTCTCAGTCTGGTATTTACAGTAAAGAGTGTGAGTGAATGAGGCATCTTTATAGTACTAATAATCAGTCTAAGCAAAGTGTAAAGACTTCTGGGAGTTGTTTTTCATATAGTGGCACATGTGTAGTTCTCCAGCAAGCTGCACAGGCTAGATCACTAGTGATCGTGACAATTGCTTTCTGTGTGTTCGTAATTGTGTTGCTTTAAATATTTTCCAGCTGATTGATGCATGGATGATATCAAAGCCATCGTTTCCCCAGAGATTTTCATAAGGGGGTTTATAATGGGGCTATAAAGGGGTTGGTAAACAGAAAGAAAACCCAAACATTCTTAGCTGTACATTGAAAACAAAACAAAAAAATAAATAAAAATAAAAATAAAAAATTTAACAAAAATATGAAGGTGCATTAAATTAATTTAAGTAATTTTTGCCACATAAGTTATTTTGCTCCTAAATTGTAACACAAAATTGTGAAACCTCAAATAAATATTTATATGATATATAATAATATGATATTTTACTATACTTTAAAACCACTAAAACCACTCAATTGTTTTAAAATGCAAGCAGAAAAGACAGAAAAGAACAAAAAGGATTATCCAGGGGACTTGTGCAAACAATCCAAAGGAGGGTGAGCTCATGATCCGCAGCACCTTGTTTCAATTATAACATAAAAAATGTGTGAGTGTACATTTACATTTTGGTTCAAACGTAAAAGAGTGAACAATAATGTCTACAGTGCTTTATTTGTGTTGTATATAAATGTGAAAAAAGCTCCATTTTATCTTTTGTCAAGGACTGATAACAACATTAGTGTCAATCTTTCAAAGAGATTTTTGCAGCTCTCTGATCTCAGGGGCACTCTAACCTTCCAGAAAATGTCATCTTGTGTTTCAGTTTTAATCCAAACCACATGCTTTTGTAGTTGTTAAGACCCACTTGGATCTGAATCAGTCTTACTCTGATCTATCCATCCTGCATGCATGAACCCACACATACCCACACAAAACAAAAACAGCACTCTCTTTCCAAAGGATGAAAGATGACCTGGTATTCCCCACGCTTAAATCATGGTTCCTATTTAATGTTTATAGAGAACTGTGATACACAAAGCAAAATGTTTCCAGTGAACAATCTCAGAGTGAGTTCTAATGCTAATATGTAAAGAAAAAGTCATTTCTTACCTTGCCTAAAACTGGAGTCAAATGGACGGGACCCGTCTATATCAAAACCATTAGTTACTGGACGCTGGCTTAGGTCAGTGACCTGGTGAAGACGCAGTTTCCTGCAGTAGATTGATGCAGCCTCTGGTTCAAGAGCTATAAGAAGCTGCTCAGGAGAATCTGGAGGAACTAAGCCTGCCTAAAAATAAATAAACCAGAGCCTTAATATTACAGTCTAAAAGTAAATATTGAGTAACTTCAACAGTTCTCAACAGTTCTGAATCAGGTATTTTCCAGACTGTTTAATTCTGGAATGAATCAGTACTCTGAACAAATCAGTTAGATACATAGAATAGTTTAATAACTGACACTTAAGGACAGTTGCAATCTGGGTCGGTACCAGTTGGGAAACACCCTAGCAACAGGCAAACTTTAGAAGCACTTTAGAAGCTGCATAAATAGATATATAGACTGCAGCTCTGCACTTTAAATTTGGCCAGAGGAGAAATGGTCATGCCCAACTAAACCTGGTTTCTCTTCAGGTTTTTTCCATCACTTCCGTCAATTGGTGAAGTTTGTTCCTCACCACTGTCACCACTGGCTTACTTAGTTTAGTACTTGTGGAGCTGTGCTTCGATTTATTTGCTCTTCAGTGTTTGGACTTTCAGCAGTGAAAACTAAACCACACTTTAACTGAACTAAAATTCAACTTTGAAAACTTGACTGACACAGTTTCAGTTTACTAGAATCTACATAGTAAAAGCACTAGAGAAATAAAGATGAATTGAATTGAATTGAACAATAACCATGTCCACATGCCCACTGTACGGTGACATGGTAACCAAGAAAACAGGACAAAAGGTCTTTAGGACAATTTAGTCATTTAACATGGTACAATGTTAAAGCATCAGTATGCTGCCCCACTTGGCCATGGAGTTATGATGGAAGGTGGTGGGCTGCCTTGTTCCCCCTTTTTTGCCTGGCTGGGACAGGCGTGGTTTCCTGTGTTTGTGTGCCGGTCTCTTGCATTGTTTAACCTCTGTGACATTGCAAAGAGGAAATTAACCTCGACCTGCATTACTTTTAGTGAGGTAGAATTTTAAAAGCCACGGATATTAGAGCAAATACAGCAAATGGTACTGATCCAATCAACAGCATTTGACTTTAAACTGAAGCATTCACTGATGATTGTTGTATGGTCTTAGATGTGCCTAGTGTGCCAAACATAATGTCTGTGGTTGATTTTTTAGTGTTTTTCTCATAGGGAGATTTTTTTCACTCGGGCAAAGCACACACATATGTAATGGATATCAGGTTTTGGTCCTTTTGGCACAGTGTTTTACTCCACTCACACAAATGTCTGTCAACCTTCACATTTATTGCATGTGTGCAGTGACTTTGCATTCCTTTTCAAGTACGCACATTTCCTGAACTGCAATGGGGGCTGCAGAATATTCAGTGTGGGAGTGGGATTTTTTGTATGTGTGCATGGGAGAAGAAAGAGAAAGAGATGGTGTGTATTGGAAAATATGTCATTTTGGGGTTTGCAGTAAACACTGGTTTCAGATCTGTTGTGCTGCATTACCAGATATGCAGCTTCTCGCATGAACTGTTTGGCTGGCTGCCTCCACACGGCAGGAACTGTGATGACCCACCGTACTTCATTACCTTCCAGCACAGAGGAGGACTGGTCCTTCACCTCCTGAAAACACACAGAGACAAACATTACAAGGTTTCCTACACTTATCTGAACTAAATTCCCCAGATTTCCCAGATTTCACATGTTTATTAGTTATTGATACTTCCTTTTTCCACTCCACTATATAGGCCACATTCATAATTCATGACTGGAGGTTTTTGGAAGAAATCTCCCAAGTTGTCAGAGGTTCCTGAATGTATGTGGAAGTAGGTTTAGGTCCAGCTAAGACTAGCTACTACTGGCCTAGAACTTCCATCAACCTCCACTGTTTAATTAAGTGATGGAAAAGAGCACAGTGAAAAATATGGTCCAAAACCACTGCACAGCTCAAAGTTATACTGGCTCAGACTGGCTGTAGTGTGTGGGGTGGGCCCAAAAGCCATTAGAGTGGAGTCAGAATGACACTTAATATTTGGAGTATTGTTTGTGTTTAAGCAGCAGGGAATTGTGTTTGTTTTGTTATTAAATGTTCAAAATGTTCAGCAGTTCCCACCTCATTCTTGAACTGTGATCTTTATCTGTTACAGCGGATGCCCTTCTAGCCGCAACCCATCCCTGGAAAACATCCACACACACATTCACACACACACTACGGACAATTTAGCCTACCCAATTCACCTGTACCACATGTCTTTGGACTGTGGGAGAAACCGGAGCACCCGGAGGAAACCCACGCGAAGGCAGCGAGAACATGCAAACTCCACACAGAAACGCCAACTGAGCCGAGGTTCGAACCAGCCACCCAGCGACATTCTCGCTGTGAGTCGACAGCACTACCTACTGCGCCACTGCCTCACCCTATATTCAAAATATTCTTAGTCAAATACCAGATACCAAATTATTAATTAATTCATTCATTCATTTTCTTTTTTCAGCTTAGTCTCTTTGTTAATCTGGGATTGCCACAGCAGAATGAACCGGCAACTTATCCAGCATATGTTTTACACAGTGGATGCCCTTCCAGCTGCAACTCATCACTGGGAAACATCCATACACACTCATTTACACACATACACTACGGACAATTTGGCTTACCCAATTTACCTGCAGCGCATGTCTTTGAAATGTGGGGGAAAATGGATCACCCGGAGAAAACCCACGCTAACACGGGGAGAACATGCAAACTCCACACAGAAATGTCAACTGACCCAGCTGAGGCTCGAACCAGTAACCTTCATGCTTTGTGGCAAACGTGCTACCCACTGCACCACCATGCAGCACTAGATACCAAATTGATAAAATATTTTAATGAAATGAAATTAAACACGATCCATCAAGATAAAACAAGTACCAACAAAAGGTTACAGATGCTAACAGGAATTATTTGACACACTAAATCAGGGGTGTCTAAACTTGGTCCTGGAGGGCCGGTGTCCTGCAGATTTAAGATATAACTTGCCTTAACACACCTGCATGGATGTTTCTAGAAAGCTTAGTAAGAGCTTGATTAGCTTGCCCAGGTGAGTCTGACTGGGGTTAGAACTTTACTTACCCTCCAGGACCGAGTTTGGGCACCCCTGCACTAAATGATCAAATGATCCAACAAAGTATATGTAGCTGTTCAATGGTATCTGTCAGTGTAGCAGCATTTTTTGTGTGTGCATATATTCACCTTTAAAGCATGTTCTCGAAAGAACCTCAAGGCATGAGCAAACACCTCAATGGCCTGCACTCTTCTTCCACTAACAGACTCCAGCTCAGTCTCCATAGTAAGATCCTATAGAAAACCCAGAGAGTGTGCTGTAAAACTGCTCATTAACAATGACAAATAAAATTATTATGCTCTTTAGACAGGCAGTAAATATGTTGTTTTTTTCACAGCATTGATACCTTATGACCAATGCTTGATCACCCTAATGCCAAGTTCAAGTTGCATGATTTTAGTCCTGATTTTGACTTGCTGACAGGTTTTGAGAGTAACCAACAAATGCCCAAAATCACAGGCAAATCAGTGCTCCTTCAGTAACAATCACACAGTGTAAACTATCAAACAATTATCTGAGTCGTCAAAACACATGAGATACTTGGCTGGCTAAATATCTGGAACTGTCTGCGATTTAATCATGTTGTGTAAAATGTTGTGTAAATTCTGATCAAAAATAACATTCGCAATTACCTACAGCTAATGAGAGAGCAGCATCCACTACTATGGGTATCTGCGGCCAGCGGGAGAAGTTAAAAATGCTTATTTTCAGTCTATTTTGACCCAAGAAATGGAGGAAAAACTAGAGTAAATTTGGCAGCAGCACTTGTGTCTGTTTAATGTGTCATCAGAGCAATAACACAACTGGGTCAAAAAAGAAAAAAAAAAGTTTAAGGGAAATTGCTAATTTCGTTCAAAACCCAGGTCAGCAAAATAAGGTTATTTTCTACCCCACTAAAGGCGTCTTTCTCATTATGTAGTTAATAACAAAATATATACTACGTGAACTCATGTTGATTCCATGTCACTCTTGCGTGTGTTTGGTTGTAAGACGTACCCTAACTTGTGGACTGAGACAAAGTTGTTGGCGACTCTTCCTCTTGTAAAATCTACAAATCTACAAATGTAGTATGAAACCCTGTCCCTAATCCATATTCATGTTTTCTGCAGGTTTCACACATTTTAAGACTTTTTGAGACATTTTTAAGACTATTAAATTAAATTTTAGACTCATCATGGGCTAAAGGCTCTATCAATTTATCAAATGGCTCAAATGGAAAATATTTTTATTTGCCTTATCAAAATGTTGATATAATTTAATACATTTAATAATAGAATAATACATTAACAATAAAAAATAATTTTCTTAGGGGATATTTTAAATACTGATTAAAAACAGGCAACTCTACTTGTATCTATACACTTTTTTCCAACATAAACTTTCTTTAAATTAAAAATAAACAAATATTTTTAAAGTAAAAAAAAAACATAATAAACTAAATATATGCACAACAATCTCTCCAGGTCCTCAGCAGTAAATATATGGAGCATTTTTAAACAAATGTTATTGTAAGGAAAATATTGAAACCATTATGGTAAATAGATAAAATTTACATTTTTAAATAAAAGGTTTAGAGTTTTATTGAAACGGATTATTGGTAATTGGATCGGTTTTGGTCAGATTGGGTAGCAATACATAAACAAAGGAAAATTAAGACTTGTTTAAAAAATATTTAAGACTTACAATACGATATTTCAGTAAATTTAAGACTTTTTAAGGCATAAAATTTAGATTTTAATATTTAGGACTTTTTAATAGTAATGCAATGTGAAAAAAATGTAACTACTACTTGGCATAAACTGAGGAACTATACTTGTATTATTATTAAAAAGAGAGAGAAAAAAAACAGTCAATATGTAATATATGTTTAGCTTACACTTGTGCTGTGGATTTTCATTTTGAATTTGTCAAAGTATAGCCAATGTCTGGCCTCCTCGGGGTCAAGGTCATGATAACTGTCTCGCGCTGCAAAGCCAAAACTGTGGAAACGTAGGTCAGGGGTCAGCAGAAGACAGGTTGGACTTTTCTGATTTGCTACACCAGGGTCTCCTCCCTCCCACCTTCTGTTAGAAAATATAGGGAGAAATGTAATGGTAAGAAATGGGAGAGGGAGTTATAATAACTACAAGTTACAGACATAAATACCTCATCATGTGAATGGTCTCAGGGTCTTCAATGAAACTGAAGGCATAGCCACTGGAGGTGGTGCCAAAATCTATTGCGACCACCACATAAAATGGACGAGCCAAACGTGGTCTAACTTCTGTTCTCTAAACAGAGAAAAAAAGAAAAACAAAGTAGGTAAAAAAAGAAAATAATGTTTTTTCCTTATCACTTTTAAAGAGGAGTGGATTTACAAAAGGTTCTCCCCTGGTACAGAGAGTAACTGACTCCACCTTCTTCTTCTGTTCTCTTATCTCTAGATTATTTCAATGACCTGAGTGTTTAATTCACACAGAAAATTTTTCCATTAAAAATATGAGATACCAGCAGTAAAACTGAATTAAACACAAGGGGCCCTATCATACACCCGGCGCAATGTGGTGCAGGTCGTGACTCAAATGTTGTTTGTGTAACACCTGTTTACACCTATAATAATTAAGAGCTATTGGTTGTGCTAATTTTATGTGTTATTTCCTAAGTGCAAAGATGTTATTTGGACCAGTTAGGTTCGACTATGGAGCCTGTAAATAGTATGAATAAATGTTTGAGAAAAGAAAATATTCCACGTGGTTTTTCTTTAAATCAGCTGGTAGTTTACTATATGAAATGGCCAATGGAAAAAAAATAAAAAAAATAAACTAAAGTTTAACAGTAAAAATAAAACAGTATAATTGTATCAGAAAAATACAATTGACAATATTGTACAGCACATACAATCCTAAAGGTGCACCTTCTAAACACACTTATGTCTCTTTAAGCATGTAATTTTCCCATTCATGAAATTTTGTATCTCACAGAAAAGAGTTACACTGTGAATTAGTTGGCTTTCTTAAAACCACTAAAGCTCAAAGAATCAATAATCATTACAGTCCAACAGACTTAGTTTTTTTTTCTTTGTACAAAAAACCCAAGTTGTCAAAATCCGAAAAAAAAATCTTTCTTAAGTCTCTTTAACTTCAAATCAGTCTATTCCCTTTTTGTTTATAAAAAGAAAAGAACAGTTCGACTCAAATCCGTGTAACGCGGATGGCAGAAGGAAAAAAATATGAAAAATATAGGTCCGTGAGACAGTCCAGGAATTTCTCAGTATTTCCAACCGAGAATGATGAAGAAATATAAAAAATAAGTAAGCTTAGATCCCACCTCATAAAGCAGAAAAAACCGTAGTATAGCGATGGGAGATCAACTCAGTCAATCAAGTGTCCAGATCCGTGGGAGGCTCGCCATCAACTGATTTCCAGAACATTCAATTCCACCAATCAAAAACCTGACCTGTATTTTAGGCCAAAGATAACAGGAAATATCCATATTTAGTTTGTATATTGTAAATAAAAATACAATTAGGACACTGCGTTTTGCTGAAAGTACCTTTTCATTAAAGCAATTAACTTAATCAGGCTTAAACATAACCTTCTCATAAAACAATTAACAGACTAACAAGCTAAACTCAAATATAATGTTTACACAGAATAAAGACCAGGACAAAAATCACTATAAAGTATAAACACAGTAATTTAAACTCAGGGTTTTACTTAAAGCATATATGTTAAAGGGATTTTATCACACAAATGCGTAGGCACTTGTTTACTGATCGTTATCAGATTAGCGTTCGACAAACTTCAACAAAAACAAGGCAAAAACATGCTAAAAGTGTTAAACACTCACCAAATCCCTTTCATAAGATGATTATTGGTGTATTTCGGCACAAATAGCGATGTTTAGATGCACTAATCTGCGTCAGATCTGCTCCGTCACCACTCACAAAATGGAGGATTCAACTCTGCCTCGTTAGAGAAGCACTTTCTCCGAAAAACTGATTTAAAGGGCCAGTACCCCTTTTTTACATACATAATACAAATGAACCAAAAATGACTCAGATAAATGAAAAATCATAAAAAACATTCTATCCACTAAAAAGAAAATATCCTTTTCTTATTTATATAAGATTTGAAGAAAAATAACATTTATTTAATTTCATCAGTATACTATGTAATGTGTGTTTTGCTCATATTCATTTAGTTATATATTTTAAATACTCGTTCTGTGTGACTTAATTCACCTGTGCTACACCCTCCCCACCAGAATCTATGCACGTCCCGTTGCATTAACTCTTACTGGCTGACATGTAACTGCTTTGTCAGAGGTTGAGGGTGAAGATGTCTCAACAAAGTCAACTCCATTTAGAGAGTTTGTGAAGGCAGTGGTAAGGCCATGGAAAAGTGATTGGGCAACTATAACTAATGGATTACCCAGTTCACTATACTGCAATCTATCTGGTTTTTCCTTTCTCCTCTGAGAACGTCTCATTGGATTTTCTGGCTCTTGAGATGTTTCGTGCTGCTCTATATTAGATGAAATATTATCAGGAGCATTTAAAAGGGGTTTCCTAATTTCCTCTTCAAGTTCCTCCTCAACACTCCTTTCTATTCCATCATCTGGACATTGAGGCATCTCTTCACTCAATTCACCTTCTGACGATTTACCACTCTCTGACATTTCACTTGATTCACCCTGTAAAGTTGTGATTTGTTCAATCTGTTTTTCCTGGTGTGAATCATCCAAGCATGCCTCTAGTCCTGCAGAATCCATCTCCACATGTGACTCATCACCTAGAGCTACAAAAGGCAATTGAGGATCACAACCCACAGGAGGATCAAAGGTAGATGTTAAAGTACCCAATGCATTTTCGTGAGATTCATTAGTAACAGGAACTCTGATCCAGTATTCTGGAACTTCATCCTCCATTGACTCTGCAGTATCGTTAACTCCATTCTCACTGGCATCTTCCCCACTAACTTGTTGACGTGTCCTAGGCTTTGAAGTAGAACTTGGTGGATTAGATACCTTCTCACCTGGTAGAGTAAGGAAACCACATGGGAGCAGAAGATCCCGATGCAGAGTACGCAAGGGTCCTTCATCCCCTTCAGGTCTTACTGTGTACACTGGGAGGTCATGTACTCGGCGTACAACAATGTAAGCAGATGGCTCCCATTTATCTGCGAGCTTATGTTTGCCTCGCAAGCGAACCTGCTTTACTAAAACTCGATCGCCTACTTCCAAGGTAGAATCCACAACATGTTTGTCAAACCTTATCTTGTTTCTTTCAGCATTCTTGAGTGCATTGCGAGTGGCAATTTGATAGCTTTCCTCAAGGTGTTTTTTAAGTTTTGACACATATTGGGAGTGTGACAGTCGCTTACTGGTGGTAGGGAGACCAAAGGCTAGGTCAATGGGGAGACGAGGCTGCCTTCCGAACATTAATTCGTAAGGAGTAAATCCAGTCACTTCACTTTTTGTACAATTGTACGCGTGAACGAGAGGTTTAACAAAGTCACGCCAATGAGCTTTTTGTTCATCATTCATGCTACCTAACATGTTCAAAAGTGTCCTGTTAAATCTTTCCACAGGATTACCACGTGGGTGATAGGGCGTAGTCCTTCCCTTTTTGATTCCAGAGATGGAACACAGCTCCTTTATAGTATGTGACTCAAAATCACGACCTTGGTCACTGTGTAACCTCTCCGGGAATCCGTAGTGAACGATGAAATTGTCCCATAGAGCCTGAGCAACAGTTCGAGCCTTCTGATTGACAGTTGGTACTGCCACGGCATACTTGGTAAAGTGATCTGTTATCACAAGTATGTCTTTAAAATTTCTTCGATCTGGCTCCAAAGAAAGAAAATCCATACACAACAACTCTAAAGGTCGAGTTGTTCGTATGTTGACAAGTGGAGCTGCTTTCTCAGGGGGAGCTTTATGGAGAACACAACGGGGACAAGTTTTGATCTTTTGCTCCACTTCCTGTGCCATCTTTGGCCAATAAAATCTGGACCTTGCCAAATCAAGTGTTCGATCTATCCCCATATGGCCCATCTCATCATGAAGACTTCTCAATACAGTTGCTCTAAACTCTTTGGGTAACACTAACTGGTGAGTTAGAACCTCTCCATTCTGTCTTTTTCGATACAGTACTCCGTCTAGAAGCACAAAACGGTTCCACTCTCTCATCATAAGAGACAGCTCAGGTAATTCACCTCTAACAGTGGGAGAAGGTTTCTCTCCTGAGTTTAAGTGAGAGATAATTTGAGAGATAGTTGAGTCAGCACCCTGTTTTTCAATTAGATCCTGAACTGACAGGCGAGGTATGAGTGAGACTCCAAGTTCTTCCTCCTCATAGCTGTTGGGCACAGCATTCGAACTCATAGCAAGAGAATGCACTAACACTGTTCGATCACTTGCACTTTCCACAACATCTTCAGGCATGGAACTAATTATGTGTTTATCACAAATGGCTTCAACCTCATCTTGTGTAAGACTTGTCTCTCCTAGGTTTTCAAGATGTAAGGTCAGAAATTTATCAATCCTCTCTTGTTCCTTTCTTGAGACAACATCCATAGCCACTTCATGAGGACGCCTAGATAAGCCATCAGCATCAAGATTAAGCTTCCCTGCCCGATACTTCAAGGAGAAGGAGTAAGTAGAAAGAGCTGAAAGCCAACGATAGCTGGCTGCATCCAGCTTCGCGGTGGTGAGAATATATGTAAGTGGGTTACTGTCTGTTATAACTGTGAACTGACTTCCATAAAGGTAATCGTGGAACTTTTCAGTCACAGCCCACTTTAAAGCAAGAAATTCCAGTTTGTGTGCTGGATAGCGACTCTCACTGAATGACAAACCCCTACTGGCAAAAGCAATTGCCCTCATCTTTCCTTCCTGCTCCTGGTAAAGTGCAGCTCCTAAACCCGTAGTACTCGCATCCGTGTGCAAAATGTATGGAAGTTTAGGATTTGCAAAACCCAAGATAGGGGCAGAGGTAAGTTTGTCAATGATTTCCTCAAAAGCGTGTTGACAGTTAGATGTCCAACGCTGCTTAAATGGTTCTCTAGGATTCAAGTAGTGACTTTTAATCCCTTGAGTCTTCTTTGATTTGTGTAGTGGAGGGTATCCAGAGGTGAGATGGTTAAGGGGTTTTACTATTTTGGAAAAATCTTTGATAAACCTCCTATAATACCCTGCAAAACCAAGAAAAGACCTGAGTTCTTTTAAGTTTGTGGGACTTGGCCAGGTTTTTAGGGCCTTGATCTTTTCAGGATCTGTCTCAACACCA